TATCAACTATGCAAGGGTGTTAAGGTATTCTGAAAAGAACATGTACATTTGCTAAATGGTAACAATTTAAACATATACTTTGATCCCTGTTTTTCTAAATTTGGTATTTTGTTCCTCCTACATCCAAGGCCACTATTTAATATGAATGTGAAAGCTCTCTTTTTTTAAGGACTCTTTGAATAGTTAGAGAATATAGTTAAAAGTGAAAGTAACCCAGGAATAGGAATTGTTTCAAAACAAAACCAAGCACAGAGCCAATTTTCCACTTTGTTTTTTTGCTGATAAGTAGGATTGTTCTTCAAAAAGGTGAAATTCAATGAAGAACTAAGCTCTGAGGATGAGCGCACAGCTCTTTTGTTAGTAGTTCTTTCACACAAAATAAATAAATAGAAAACAACCCAAGAGTGGAAAAGATACAATCTAGTAACAATTCTACATCTATCACAATTGTTTTTCAACTTTTTTCTTACATGTTGTCTCTTAATCAATTTCATTTTTTCCCTATATATTATACTACCTCCCCAGGCATAGGGCCCTATTTTGACAATTGGGTTGCAGGACACCCATGTCTCTTTTCCTGTCAGCCTGTTATTGTAAGACTAATGAGCTGGTGTCCATATGTAATAGTAAACATGATAGCTGGTGTCATCATCTATGCGCCTGATACTTTCTCAGCTAAAGACTATATTTTAGGCAGGGATTTCCAGTGAGGCTGGGGATCCACAGTGGCCAAATCTGTGAGTTTCTTCTGATACAATATCCCAGAAATGGTTTTCTTTGTGTTGTGTGTGTGTGTGTGTGTGTGTGTGTGTCTTTTTTTCTTCTGCTCTGGATTTTGTAATAAAAGCTGAAAGATCAAACTATAGTTTCACTGTTAAAGTTGACTCTGCAGGAGAATGGAGTAATATTGCCCTTATCAAATCTGCTTATTCCTACTGTCTCAACCTCCTCTTTGTAGCTGGTGTGCTGCATAGTAAACCATCTCAGACAACTAATCCAGGCTGAATTTAACTTGACAAAAGTACAGGCTTAATGTGATTGTAAAACTCAAGCATTAACTGTATGATATAAATTCTATCTAAATAACCTTTGTACTACATTCTTTATCATATTGCATTGAAAGGACTTCCTTTCACGTGTGTCATCTATTACAGTATCTTATTTTCTTCAGTATACTCTGTACTATATATTAATATAGGGAGTCATATATTTTCAGGGAGTATACACTCACTTTTCTGTAATATTTCTGAATGACTCATGTTCTCTACTTTCTTTACCCTTCGTGTTTTCCGGTTATATCTTACTCATTTCCACAACATTTACTTTTACAATCTGCAGTGTTCAGAAAGCTTCAAACATGGCCCAGCTAATCACCTGCACTCATCAGGTGAGGCTGGTCTGGGCCATGAAGGCCTATGGGTGCATGCAGGGCCCTGAAAGCTACTACTACAATTGGATCAATTTGGGCAAACGTTTATGTCAAGTAAAAAATGTATGATTGTTCCCAGATTTTATAGTTATGTTGTCTAATACCTGCCAGTATCGTACATAAACACAAGACTTAAATCATAAGACTATCCACTAAATAGCATCAAAGATTAAGAAATTCCACTTACATAGTTTATCACTGTCGTGGTTTAACCCCAGCCAGCAACTAAGCACCACGCAGCCGCTCGGTCACTCCCCCCCCCATCCAGTGGGATGGGGGAGAAAATGAGGAAAAGAAGTAAAACTCCTGGGTTGAGATAAGAAAGGTTTAATAAAACAGAAAAGAAGAAACTAATAATGATAATGATAACACTAATAAAATGACAACAGTAGTAATAAAAGGATTGGAATGTGCAAATGATGCGCAGTGCAGTTGCTCACCACCCGCCGACCAACACCCAGCCAGTCCCCGAGCGGCGATTCCCTGCCCCCACTTCCCAGTTCCTAAACTAGATGGGACGTCACATGGTATGGAATACACTGTTGGCCAGTTTGGGTCAGGTGCCCTGGCTGGGCATGAGAAGCTGAAAAATCCTTGACTCTGGTCTAAACACTACTGAGCAACAACTGAATACATCAGTGTTACCAACATTCTTCACATACTGAACTCAAAACATAGCACTGTACCAGCTACTAGGAAGACAGTTAACTCTATCCCAGCTGAAACCAGGACAATCACCATTCTTCAAGTAAGGAGAAAGAGTCAATTAGTAACAAAGTATCAAAAATAACAGGTTTTCACAGTACAACACTAATAGGGTGGGGGACCTATTTTTGTTTAACTAAAACTATGTTTTGTTATATAAATAGCTGAACTTAAAGACCTTCAAATGTTGATCATCAGAGAATCTACATTCTCTTTACTATTGCTGAAGAGTAAAAATCTGGAAGAGTCAAATGTAATTTGAGTGGCCATTACTGCCTCATTTTCTGTCATGAGATCTGATATATAATCATGTGTTTAAATTCAAATGTCCCCCCATAGCAGTGCTTGTGTAGTAACTGTTTCAGTCAGAATGTAGCTTACCTAACTGCCTCTACAATAAATTTTTATACAGACCACCTATAATTGCAGACCCTTATACCATATAATACTTCATATTTTTACAAAAGCTTGGTTTTCTGCATGTTTCACTCATGTCTACAGAGACAACCAATAAAAATTTTATATCTCTAAGGTTTGAAATTGTTTCAACTACCCATTAAAAAATCAGAATAGTTTCTCTTCTCCTATTGAATATGTTTTAGACAAATGTATTTTCTAAACTTTCTTCTGTCGAATATGCATAGAAAATTTATACAGATAGCATGTATTAACTGAAGCAGAGTTATATATATATAATTTTTTGACAAAAAAAAACAAAACAAAACAGTTTGATTATGGCAAAGAACATGAATATAGATCAGTTCTTGTCATATCTTCTAAAACTGTGTTTATAACAGTGTGTTGTAGTAGCTTCTCATAAGCTCTACAACATTCAATGAATAGCATATTCTGCTAACAAGTCCATTTATTATTGTCTATTTCACGTTACTTTTTAAAAATCAGATCTTCTTTTACCTTTATTCAAACTAATGTCTTTTTTTCATAACTCACATCTGCACATCACTGATTGATTTACTCTGATGTAATCTAGGCAAATACATATATTGGAAAAGATCAGGAGCTGATGAATCCAGCTATACTATGGTTAGGGGTTTGATATGGATTCACACCAAGAAGTTGGTCTATGCAATACTACACAGTAAACACATAATAATGCATTTTTGCCCATCTTCTTTTTTTTCACTTAGACATCCCAAAAATTCTGGGTAGGAACATGACATTTTTCACTTCCTGTACATGAAAGTACATATTCTTTTCAGAATTCACTTTTTACTAGGAATAATTTGGGAAAATGTAGAGATGCTGGACCGTCAGAAATGGTAAATAGGTTAATGATTCTCATACCTTTTTGTGTTACTGTGCAGTACACTTCTAGTGTGATCAAGCAAACTATAATGAGTCAAATGGAACTTTCCTTTTGAATTTAATTACAGCTGGTTTCAGCTCATATGTTTGATTAAAGACACTTTATATCTTTCATTGTTATTTTAACATTTACACAGTGCTTTACATCTTCAAAGCACTTTGCTGACATTACCTTATTAGTTCTTGCAATGCTTAGATGCAATTTTCAGTGTGCTTTTATATCACAGTCCCATTTTAATTGCTATTTAAAGCTGCATTAATTATATTTATAATGGGCCATAAAAAGGAATGTTTAGTAGGAAAACCACTGTACCAACAATTTGTGTAGTACATTTCTTAAACTATAAAATATTTTTGTCTATGTGATACTTCAGATTTAGCCCAGTACTGAACTCTGCTAATGAGAGTTTCAGGCCTGTCCTCCCCTAGCACAGCATGATGTGAACTACCATCAGTAAGAGAATGTCGGTGCTGTTCCTCTGTTTGTTTTCATTGCTGTCCTGGCGAGACTTCTCTTCCTGAGCTTGCTAGGTGAAATGGAAATCATTGCAAATACTATCACTGAGGTGTAAGTGCCCAAATTTCACCCACTGTAGACAATGAGCACACAGGAGCCCTGTCTGGTACTCCCTGCTTCCTCCCAGGTTGCCTTCAGGAGCACATGTGCTGCCCACTATCATGGGGGTACTCGAGGACAGTGCTTTTTCCCTGTGAATGCCATAGTCGATTCTTGATGCCGCAGTTAACTTTAGTGTTCTCATGTTTTTCTGGTAAGTTTGCTTCTCAACTTCAAAAGTGTCAAACAACATTTCAGTCATTAGCTACTTGAACTTTTAGCTGTTACTGCTTTTTCTTTACATTTCTTCCTGTTATAAAACACACCCCAGAAAACATTGCAAGTTTCTTTAAATGTCTATTGCTAATAAGTATTTTTGCTAATCACAAAATTAGATTTGTAGATTCTTGTATTGCTGAAAGCTAAGTATAATCCAAATGCATCATCCAGACTGCATAGCAGCTTGGACCTGTTCCACCTATTTGTTGTCTCTGAACAACAAATAAAAGACAGTTGTCATAAAATGGTGTCAAGTGACCTACAGCATTTAATGTTAGCTTGCAATGAAGACAATTCCTCATTGTTGGTGACTATATAATTATGAATTCACAATTAAGCTTGATTTCATAGGTACTGATCATTTACAGCCACTGAAGTGAGAAATTGCTTAGAGCTCCTGAAATTTTGGTCACTGCTACATAACTGAGTTACATAACTTCCCTTAAAGGTGCATGGTGTACATTGGCATCTCTTGGCAAACCCTGCCCATAGTTACAGAAGAGTCACTCCTTTCTGTCACCTAGTAACTTTTCAATAGTCAACATCAACTCAACAGTTTCTGAGCTGGAGTTTGATTTCTCAGTGTGTGTGGAATACAGTACCTTTTTAAACACTTGTTTAGGCTACAAAGAATTAAACAAGGACAACACCTCGTGGAAGTGTTTGAGCAGAAGAAAAATTGTAGTAGTATGTTCTGAACATAAAATGGAAATGGCTGAAGGTAAGATTACACCTGCAGGCAAATCAGGCCAACTCCTGGAAAAAATCTGGCATATGAACTTGCTAGCAAGAGATGTGCTTCTAAAAAGTGATCCGGATAATGAGGGTATAGTGGAGTATGTACTTAGACTGATCTCTTTAACAAAAGAACTGAGCAGATCTCTCAGTCAGCAGCTGGAGAACGTTACAGAAAGTATCCAAGACACCTGCCACTTGCTGAGTGCTCTCCATGACAAATACAAGGAATTGACCGCAATTCCAGGCAAGTATGGAGGGACTTACCTGCAAACAGAATGGACTGGGTATATCGGATGCTAAGTTCTCCTGTGTGATGATGCCGGGGGACCTTACTTTTCATTTGTTAGTATTTCAGTACTTGGTCATTCATTAGACCAAATTAATTCATATTTCAATAGTTGTATCATGCTGGTTTTGAGTCTATTACATGAGATTCAGTATGAGATTCATAATTCTCACTATGTGAGAAAAAATATAAAACAGAATTGTTTCAAAGTTTTATGTATATTGTACTTTGGTGGGTTTATCTTGACCAGACACCAGATGGCCACCCAGCAACTTACTCCTCTCCCTAACAGGACAGTGGGAGAAAATAAGATGGAAGAGCTATGTGTCAATATAAAGACAGGGAAATCACATACCACTTACTGTCATGGGCAAAATGGACTCAGGGAAAAAATTAATTTAATTTATTGCCAATCAAAGTAAATTTGGATTATGAGTAACAAAGGCAAAAAATTAAAACACCACCTTTCCCCCACCCCTCCTTTTTTCCAAGCTCACCGTCACTCCTTCGTTCCCAACCCCTCTACCTTCTCCCACTCCCAAGGAGCGCAGGGGGACGGGGAACGGGGGTAGCAGTCAGTCCATAACAGTTCCCCTCTGCCACTCCTTCCTCCTCACACTTTTCCATGCTCTACCATGTGTCCTTCCCACAGTTCCTGTCAGGAAAAGCTGGGCTCTCCATGGCTGCAGTTCCTTCAGGGAATATCTACCTGCTCCAGCGTGGGGTCCTCCACCAGCTGCAGAGTGGATATCTACTCCAGCCTTGGTCTCCCACAGGCTGCTGAGCAGTACCTGCTCCACGCCTGGAGCACCTCCCCTTCCTTCTTCTCCAGCCTTGGTGCTCGCAGGGCTGTTTCTCACACGTTTTTCTTCACTTCTCACTGTTCTCTGGTGTTCTTGCCCTTTCTTAAACATCTTTTCACAGAGGCAGCACCAGCTTCCCTGACAAGCTCCGGTCAGCCCTGCAGTAGTTCTGTTGTGGAACCGGCCAGAACCGGCCGTGTCCGGCACGGGGCAGCCCCGGCCTCTCCTCACAGAGGCCGCCCCTGCAGCCCCCGCTGCCACCACCTCGCCAAGTAAACCTCATGTGTATGGTCTACAGTCCTCTACACGTAACAACAGAGTTTAAAAGATTACAATCAGAATAAGAAAGGCTTTGCCATCTTAGTGCATAAGTAAACACATGGGATTTAATTTCTTGCATTTATAATAACGATGTGGGTATAACGGTGTTATTTATTGCGAGGACCAAATCCAGGTTGTATTCCTGTAAAAATGCAGGATCATTTTGTGAAAAATGAAACAACTCTCTTTCCTCAGAAACAACATAGTACAACAAAGTAGAAAAGAAAATTAACATTTCTGCATTTCATAACGGTCTAACAGCATGATGCATAGACAGAGAAAGACTCCAGGCAGAAACCTTCAGCTATGCCTGTATTTATGAGTCTTTGTTTTACAGGTTTATAAAGTGTCTGCAATAATAAAAGAACATCTTTGTAAAAAAAAGGACCTACTTCCAGGCTCCAAGATCAAGCTAACTTTGCCCTGTTGGCCTCATGGCCAATGTGATTTTTATTTTTTTTTTTTCAGTTTTCTAAGAACTCGCTATCATTCTCCTTCCAAAAAGCTACTTTTCCTCATCTGACACTTTCCTATAAAACAGTCAGCAAAAAGGTTTGAAGACAGTTGCATATAAACTGCCACTGTATTCTAAAGCCCTGTTATAAAACACCAAAAAAAGCACAGAAAGCAAAGTGTTAGAAAGGTAATGGTGGTGGGGGAGTAACACAAAAGAAGGCTTATTTTGAGGTTAACCTTGTAACAGGATGCAAAAAGTGTCTTTTCATGCAACACAGTTGGGTAGTGTAAGGTTACAAGGCCGTGTCTTTGCTTGGCTTTAAGCACCGCAGTATTAGAAAAGTCACATTCACAGTGTAGAAAAATGCCATTGTTTTGAATGACACTGTTATCTTCAAATTTGATTTTAGGGAAGTTTAAATACCAGTATGATGTGTTTGGGGTTTTTTGTTTAGAGAATACAAAACTCAGGGAGGAAACAGGTTAATTTTGGTGGGTTTGCTGAAGCTTGAACTTTGCCTTATGGCTAGATTGGGAAGTGGTCTTTTACAACCCCCTATGCAAGTGAAGCTATGTTATTTCCAATTTGTTTGTTTTATTTCTCAGCCCTGTTATATTATTTAGAAGTTCTTCTTCACTATTGTAAAAGTGCCCCTGGAAAAACAGCAGTACTTCAGAAGAAACTTATATTTTTCTTTGAACGACCAGTGGAAAAAAATATATTAAAAATGTGTTTGCTTCTCCACCCACCCCACCCCACCCCCAACATAGTAAAAATCCAATAACAAGTCATTTGGGAACTGAGAAAATATTGCAAAGGAGTAATTTTTAGACTTGAGTTCAACAAGAAAAAAACTTCTTCTGAACTACACTCTTTGTAGGTTTAAATTAATCAGATGCAAATAGAGATGAAAGTGAAAGGCCTGTTGAGATCATATAACATCACACATAGATGTGTGATGGTATTCTTACTCAGAATTATTTTCGAAGTTGAAAACCTTGAGATACTGATTTATCTCATATGATGTTATTGAAAAAAGTGAATGCAAGCCAGTTGTTTCCTGTGAGACTTGTATCAGCCCTTCTTATTGTCCTTTCCTTGTGTGTCTCTGTCCATTATAAGTGGACAGCACACCATACTGTGTTTCATTCTGTACAATTTTCTTATTTGTATTGACTTTCACTGGATTTAACCTGAAAAAAAAAAGCATTTCAGGATCTCATGCAGCAACCAGAAATAAGCAAGAAATTTTCCGAGAGGTTTGTAGTATACCTAACTAATGAAGACACAGTTCCAGTTATAGAGATTGATAGCATAAGGTGAGGGAAAAGCTGAAAGGAATACATCTGACATCCTTGGAGAAAATATCTGGAAGGATTTCTAAGAAAAGGTGTAAGATAAGAAAAATGAGGGATCATAAAATAAATAGGTTAAAGATAAAATCTTACATGAGTGGCACATAGTGATTGTGTGCTTTTTATGCATCATTTTTCATGAAGTGTTTTTAGTTATATTCAAGAGCAACCTCCACCATTCTTGTAACTGGATGCTACAAACTGCTGAACTTCAGTATTGCACATGTGCTGGTGGTTTTGTGTTATCTTCTATTCTCCATAGCAAAAATTCAAAGCTGCTAAGCATGTTTAATATTAAGCCAATGTATAACAGCTTTGTTAGAGACCCATTCGTTAGAATCTTGCAGGATTCAATTTCAGAAAATATATATAATTAATGTTTAGTTTTAAAGTTCCTCCCAAACTGATTTGACTATTATTTACCAATTCCATGCTTTAGATTGATTATCATTAAGAATTTAGCTAGTGTCTGATCTTAGAAAGGTGTTCATTACAGTTGCCACAGTAGTACTTTGACAAATACACAGTTGTACTTGGACAAGTACACAAATGTACTCATGCATATTCATTTCTTCAGAAATTGCCTCAAACTGAATAGCAGTAAATGCAAAAATATTAAATGGAAGCCAGGAAATACATTGTGCTTCATGTATTGAATGACACTATGGAATTAGATGGAATTCATTATGTATGTGTATAACACTTTTCACATTTTTGCCTAGCTTTCATAGCAAAATTCAATTGGTTACCTATTTTTTACCTCAGAGTACAATGGAATTATAGATTGTCTGCAGAAAGTAAAGGATTGTTTGATAAATACAGTCTCACACCTTCAAGAGGCAGAAAATAAACTCTGTGCTGCTAGCTGCAGACAAGATGATGATTCTCAGATCCAGACTGCTCAAAACGCTTCTAGAGAAACAGATGTTTGTTGTTCTGAAGGAGAAACAACAGAGTCTGTGCAAGCATCTTCTAGTCCCAGTCAGCAATCCCAAAGAACTCCTTCCCTGAACAAGATGGAAAGTCAGAATGTTAATCAAATCCAGCCAAGTGAAACTAAAACTGTGGAAAAAGATGTTGCATCATTAGCTGAAAACATATCTGCTCAAGAACAGGATGTTAGCAGAGAACCTCCAATGAAAAAGGAAGATGGTGAACACAGACTACTTACAAACTCTGTTACAGAGAAAAAAGATTGCAATGGAATGGATAAACCCCATGGAGGTAGCTCTGTTACTGAAAAGTCTCCAGAACTGGCTTTTCAAGATGCTCTTACGAGCAGTGGGGAAGGCACTCTATCTGGGACATTGAAAGACATTTACGGCAGAACTGCCGCAAATGTTTTTGGACAGGAAAAAAAGGCAGTAGTCGAATCTTTGAAAGGGGTAGAAAGTGAAGAACATAGACTGACAGAGCAAATGGAAGACAGTAAAATGGACACAAATAATGAGATTTGTAGGAATGACCTAATTACCTTCACATCTTCAGCACAAACATGTGATCTTACTGCTGTGAATCCTACTATGAATGATTCAGAAGAAGTACAGAAATCTAGGCACTGGATGAACAAAGAGTAAGCACATTTTCTTCTTTTTAGGAACAGATGTACATATATACTGCTTATTAGCACATATATAAAACTCTGTGGGCCCAGAAATTTAATATGCATGTATTGAACAGCTGCTGGTCATGCACATAGTAGTGGTTTACCACTTAAGCATGCGCAATGAAGATCTTCCATTTGGTCTAAAGTAAACTGTAGCTTTCTATTTGATTGCATAATTTTTTTTTATGCCAGAGAGGGACTGAGTCACAGCTAGTAAAGTCAATAATTCCCAAATTGCTGGAAATCAGTAGGAAAGGACCCCAATTAGTCAGTTTTGTAATAATTTGTAAGCTCTTCTGAAACAAGCTAAACATAAACATTTTCATGATTTTCCCATCTATTCATAAACATATATTTTTATGATCTGCTTATGCAATTCATTATAGTAAAGTATTTAATTAAAAATACAAGACACCACCCCACCCAAAATACAAAGAATAATATTTTATATTCTTTTTCTCCAGATTTCTAGTGGAAGAGAGTGGTAAGAATGAACGTGAAGTAGCTTGTTTTATTAAAGCCCCTGCAACTGTTCTGGAGAATCTGAGGTGTAAGATAGTCAATGACACTAGTTCCTTGGTGGTGGATGATTCTGAGGAGCTGGTCAGCAATGTAATCAGTATTGAATGCTCTGATTTTGAGAAAACAATCCCTTTCCCTATCAACATTGCAATCCCATTTACATCATGCTTCAGCGGAAATTATCGGGAGATTATGGTGAAGGTGACTGATGTGAACTTTCAGTCAAACTACTTAACTCCTATTTCTTTCAAGGGATACCACCAAGGAAACCATAAGGTTGGTAACCTTTCATCTAAGCACTGTAAAAACATCATTCCAGGTTCCCAGTTAAGCCTCTGTGGAGTTATACAAGTAAAGTTGTCATGTGGGGTTAAATTGAACTTTTCTTCCTACTTTTCCAAGAACTAATTCTATTTGAAACTTAGTATTTAACAAGGTCCTTTTTTTCACTCATAATGTTAAGGCAAGTACTTGATCCCACAATACTAATGACTGAGTAATGGTTTATGATTTTTGTAAATAAGTGTAATACGTTGCATTATTTGATAAAAGTAAAAGCTTAAAGGGAAATATTTTGCATTCAGGTCACAGAGAATTAACACAATTCTGTGTATGAGTCCAGACTCCATCTCAAAGAAACACAGGATGGTTCTTTTTTATAATGCAGAGTTGCATTGGGCTAGATTCATCACCCAGTTTACAAGCTTATTTCATTTCACCCCAGTCATACACTGGGATATTAATGACATCACATATGACTAGAGATAACCAGATAACTAGGCATCCAGGTGGCAATAATATTGAATTTATTTTCATTTCACACTTTGGTCTATAAATAATGTTGCCTTTCCAAAATGCTAATCCGCTGCAGAACACAGTTTCCTTTCCCTCCGATGTACTCTAACCCCGCATTCTCTTTATGCAGGAAACCTTTGCGGAAGTGAAAATTTATCAGCTGGGTGTTTTTTCTGTGTTGTCATGCTTAAAGAAAGAAACATTTACTGTTCCAAAGGTAGGACTCTCAAAAAAGCTGAGTGTGGATTCTAGAATCTCTTTCTGTTACCATCCAGAAACATTCAGTTCTCCAGCACCTATCCAGTTAAAGGTGAGCTTGAAATATGCAATACTTATTTCATAAGTCTGTTATCTGATCAGTTCTGAAGCAAGGATGCCAATAATGTTAAAGGGCAACCTGTTCTGTTATTAGAAGTCTATGAAAAGTGGTTGCAGTTCCACATCCTGTATATACAGCAAATGGTTTCCTGTAAACTTTGTTAAAACCAAATGTTTCATGTTGTCAGTAGTCAGCAATATCTCTAGTTAAAAAGAACCATCTATCTTTGTTTGATATACTTCAGAAACAACTACAGTTGTTTCCAATAATGACATAAGCATCAACTCCAAACTTCAACTGCTTGGCCCAGTGTTTAAGTTAATGGAACAATTTTTCTCACCTGACCTTTGTCATTTGTACCAGGCAGTGCAACAGAAGGTTTTGTCACCTCTTAGTCTTAGGCTGAGAATAATCTCAAAATTTGCTTCGGTTATAATGTGTTTCCCCCTTCCCCCACAAAACCATTGATTCTGAGGTACAGAGAAGCTAAAATTAACAGTAAAAAAAATACAGATTTGAAAAATCTTAGAAAATTGTCAAAATCTGAGGGAGCGCAGGGGCTTCAAAACTTGAACTGAAAGCAGGAACAAAACAATCAAAATATTTTAGTCAGTAAAGGTTCCAGTTTTTGATTACTTTCAAGCACCTGGTTGTGCATTGTATAAAGTGCTGATATGTTGGTAGGGTTGTTCCTGGGTTACAGAGAGGAGCCTAAAGCTTCTGTGATACTCTGATTCAGTTCCAAAAGATAAATCAATTTGTAGAAAACACGCATGTAAGAGAAGATTTATTCATTTAAAAATTAATTGTACAATTGCTTTCCATATTTAGATTCAGCCAATTGAACCATCATTGGTTTCGACATTGAAAGCAAGACACGATATGTACCACTCAGTGGTATCTACTAGTGCACTGGTTTACATCCAACATCCTTCAGCCCAACCATTTAACAGCTCAGTCACTATTACTCTACCCTGTCCTCCAAACCCAGAAAAAAAAAGGCAAGGAGATGAGACAGAACATGCAAGAGCCATTAGTGCTACAGTAAAGAGGGTTGCTATGGCATACCATCCTCGGTAAGAACAACTTCACTACAAATTCAGCATTTTCAAAACATCAAATTGAATTAATTTTAGCAATTGCTGATTAATAATAATTTTTATAAAAAATGCGTTAGCTTTTTAATACAGTCTGCTATACTTAAAAACATTGTTAGAAACACTAGAGCAAATCACCACAATTCTCATGCTATAGCTTCACCAGGAAAATTCATATAACATTTGATGTATAATCTTTAAATATGCTGACCACTATCTTTCTAGCAGGAGTCAGAGTGAAAAATGTGTGGGTTTTTTTCGGTAAGAAGTGTTCAGCCATTTTCACCAAAGCCAAACATTGAACATAGATCCTGTGATCATTATTTTATCAGTTGGTGGTTTGGCTACCCTGGCCTTTGAATTTTCTGCTCTCTACTTCTACACATTCCAATAGCTACCTGAGTCAAAATTTATGACACAATGGTTTGGAGTAGATCATTTTCGTGGTAACTGCCACACTAGACAAAGGTCCAGATTTTTCCAAAGCACTCACTACAAAATTTCTAAAACTTAGACATTTTGAAACATCTTAAAAAAGCATTAAAACATGGGGCCTCCTAAAAAATCTCTAAATTTTAGTTGTTAACTGGCAGTTCAATCAAATTTATCCATGATGCATATGAGGATATGGATAAAACTTTTTGGTGGAAAAAAAGGCCAAAGCTAACCTCATCTATTTTGATAGCAAAATAAATGGTGTTTTTACCTTCTCATGCAGGAAAAAAAAAAATCTGAACTTACCATTTGATTGTTGTCCATCCAGTTCTGCTGTCATAGGCAACTGCAGGTTCAGAAAGGCTTACTGGGATTTCTTGGTAGGCACTAGCTTGGGACAAGAGTCAGCTTTGAAGTACTTCTACTTTAGGTCATTACACAGTTAGCTTATTCCTACTGTGCTAAACATTATCTTTTTCAAAATTCATCTACATGCCAAGATTATGATTGTCTTGAAAATAAGCAAGGTACAGATAGAGAAGGCAGACAATATCCTAGCTTTCCATTTCTGAAAAACTAGTTTTAAAGAGCTCTACACTCACATTGGTCTCTTAGACTAGACATCCATCTTTATCACAAACTTCAGATTTGGGAAGGGTGCCCATGTCAGTTTATAGGAGATTCAAATTTCATTTCCTCTACCAGAAGCATTTAATTGTGTGGCAGTACCCTTGTGGCATCTGTCTGTTCTTAATACCAGTCTAAATGGCACTTTAGATTCTCAGTCAAGGCACATTTATGAAAAGACCATGGCTTGATTGCTTATTTCTATACAAATTCCTTAAAAAATGATGCCAACTTTTTCCTGTATTTGCACATAGGCTGAGCCTGTATGCTTGTGAAATGCTTAGGCTGTCTTGTCTCAAGTATTTTCTTTTTTGGATTGTACATAGGGTGTGCATTTGTGGTGAATGGGTTATTCACATCCACTTTTAAAAAAACTGATAAGAAAAGGTGTGTGTGAGAGGAGAGTTATGGGCTTCCGCAAAAAAACCCTCATGTTTCATTCATTAGAATAAATTAGCCAGAGCATGTTGCTTGATTCTGAGTATGATATCAAAGTAATCACCTGATTTGAAGAGAAAGTACTTTTATTTTCTCTGTTGAAAGAGATAATGGATAGCAGTCATGTCTTACTGTCTAAATTCCTTTGTGCTTAGCGAGTAGTATTTGCTCTGGAATAAAAGGTGGGTTGTTTGGTGTTTTTTTAAGATTTGACCTCTAGAGAATCTAAATCTTGATGAATGACTCAAAAAAAATCCATAATAATTACTGTGCAAAATATTAAATGATAGATTAAACTAGATTAATTTAGATAGAAACCTTTCTTTTTCCTTTTTTTCCTCTTTCTGGAGAATTGGGAAAAAAAAAAAACCAAACCTCTCTTAACAGTTATATCACTTACGTACTTCAGAGTATAGTTCCAGATGTAGATTTTCAGCAAGGTGGGAGAAACACGTGTAGTCATCAGGGAAAACAGAAGGGAAAGCAGAGCTACAAATACAAGCTTAATCTTTCTACAGGATCTATTTTTCATTATATTTTTTCCTATAATTCCTTGGCTTTCCAGGGCTGTGAGTGCTTCTGTGAGAAAAAATGGGGAGAATCTCAGTGATACTTTGAAATTATTAGGTCACAGAAACAAAGAAGAGGGGTGGAAGGTGTTTGATGATGTTACGATCCAGAATGCACGGAATGGGCTTGTATCATTTGAACTAAATGAGCATTTAGAAAGGTAATGTATGAATAATTTAATAAAATCTTATTTACTAAAATATTTGCTTCCAAGTATATAGATCAATGGAAATTAGTAGCATTCAGAAATCATCCACTATTAATTATTAACTTGCCAGCATCTCTGCCTTCCACTTAGCAGTATAAGATCATTTTGATTTGTTACTCATAATTACAGAAAATATAAATTTGTTTAAATATTTTTTCATCTATGAAAATGTTATTTAGCTCTCTAACTACTAAACGATAATATTTTTTGAAATTTCTTATTAGGAAGTACTCTCTTACTTTCACCTAAAATTTGTATGTATTAATTCATAGATACAGAGTCAATGTACTCTGCACTTCAGAAAGAGGCAAATTTCCACCCTTTCATGTGCTGGAAACAAGAATGAAAAGGAGATAGCAAAAGGTCCATTGGAGACTGAGCCCTGTATTATTTTGCATAATAAATTGTTAGCAGTTGATGACATGATTTAAGATAGAGCTATTTATCTTCTTGCCTCTTTTTTTAATACAGCTTTGTCATCATTCGCCTTTCATTCCTCTTGGAAAACACATATCTGCTCCTTTTTGCTCAGGCTCTAGAAGAAGCTCTTTGTAGCACAATGGCTAATGTGATACTGTATCGGAAAAGAGAAAACCCATATAACATAGTAGTTTTGCTATCTGCATCCAAAGAATTGACCTGCAAACTTCAAAATCTCCATGAGGAGGGCTACTTTGGTCCCCCAGAACCTACACAGCAGTTCCCCTTAAGAGAAGGAGAGCAGATTCATTTTAGATTTAGAGGCAATATTTTTGCTTCAGGTAAGGTAATTAATTCATGGTTCTGGATGAACATTATCAATCACCCTAGCTATTCAGAAATCCTGTATGTGAACACTAGCAGACTGTGGTTAGTCATAGCACATTTAGTTATTTCAGTGTTTTATTTCTTGTAAATGATAGGCGCATGGAACTATAGGGGAAACTGCTCCAACTGGAAAATAAAATGTGCTAGTTGAACAAGATCCTGAGCAACCTTCTCTAGGTGACCCTGCTTTGAGCAGGGGGGGTTAGACAAGGTGATCTTCAGAGACCTCCTCCAACCTCTGCCATTCTGTAAAACCTGGTCCCTCGGAAACATTTATTTTAGCTTTTATTTCAAAAGGGCAGAATTCCATCAATGGCTTTTTACTATAAAGAACATTTGATAGGAATTAAACAGACTCCAAACAAAAAGAAAGTCTGCTATTTTACCTGTGTAAATTCACTTAAAGTGAGCAAGATTAAACACTGAAAGCCAGGGCAAAATGTTGCTTTTTGTGAGTAGCACTATGAATTGAGGTGATGAGAGAGAGTTACACTGTTTTCATCAGCAGCCTTGAAAATTCCATGCAGTGGCTGCCACCATTTGGAGATTTGCTTAAAGGGAACAGAGATAAGAACCCTCAGTAAAGTTTTCACCCAAAATTAAGTATAGGCTCTTCTGTCAGTTTTGGAAAGAACATATAAATATATATTTGGTCCTCTGGACATTTTGAACATAAACTCTCACACTGAAAGCTCCATTTAACCTAAAGAAAGGATTATTCTTCAAAAAGAGAAGTCTCTAGCCCCCAAGGAATGCCTGCTCATATATGCAAAGGATAGTGTCTATAGATGCATCAATTAAAATGGAATTAACAAATCCTAAAAATGCACCTACCTCTCTGCCTCCATTAATTTTGTTGTTACAGATAGACAGGTATCCATCCTGATTAACCAGGAAGCGTATACTTATAATTCCATTCACAACACTTTTACTTTTATTTCTGTCTGTGTTATGTACTTTATCGTCTTCCATGTTCCTTACTTTTCAACTTGTAGCACAGCCTTCATCACTTATTCCTTATGCCAATGATTCAGGGGCTAAGACAGCTGGCAGGAGTGTTTGAACCTCAGATGTTCAATATAAAGTAGTAATAATGATAAAGAACAACCAAATGGTATGTGATTAGCTCTATTTGACTCACCCTAATGAATTATTTTAGATGCCACACATCTAAATACAGTGAAAAAAAAAAAAATTTTTTTTTTTTTTTTATGGACTGCAGAGAATGGGAAAGATTTTGGAAAAGCCTACAGGCTGATTTTTCATTCACAAAGAAAACCCAGGCTGGAGCTCCAAATTAAAGAAGTGGATGAGTTTGGTAACCACAGTTCACCTCATTACAAAGGAACAGCAGTGTTTTATAAAATTACCAGAGAGATGATAACCAAAAACTGGGAACAACCCTTGCCATATGGTGAATATGAACACCAGTCTCCACTGTGTAAATTAGCACTAACGTTACCAAAGGTGGGTTTCTCACTTGATAATGTTAGAGATCTTTCCCTTTTTCCCTTACCACATATTTATTAGGCAAAAGGATCTTGGTATGATTTTTGCTTTACAGATACACACAGGAACCACTGATGGAGCAGTTCTGATCCATCAGCAATGTACAAACACCCTCAGAATTTCTCTTAGCAGGTGGGAGGGACCCTCATCCAAACACAAGCATAGAAAAAAATGTTTAGCAGGAGTTTTTCACCCATTTGCTCTCCCCAAATGCTATGTCCCTGAGAAATTATTACTAAAGTTTCAGTTATATACTTGTATCCTTGTCTTGGGAGTGCAGAATTGCAAATTGTAGGGGCTTAAATGGTTCATGTAACCTATCTTTCTCCTATCACCTGATTCTGCTATTATGCCTGATAAGCCTCTGCAATACAGCCATGTGGGCAACTATCATCATCTCTGGCGAAAGTTATTGCTACATAAATTAATCTTTAATATTCCTGCAATGAAATCTCATTGTAATCTTTTCAAAGAGCCTAGGTATCAGTACCCTAAATTGTACAAAAAGCTGCCACTAGACTACTGCTATCAAATTTGCATACATTTTCATATCAAAATATGTCCAGTAACAGTTGGTCTAAATCTCTGGTAACAAGCAGTAGCGTCTCTCTCTTTTTGAATTTAATTGACTTCACTCTTCCTTAAGCTATCAGCTGCAAATATATCTTTTATTTCATAAGCATATTTCTTGATTTCTCTCTCATCTTCATTCTCCTGAGTAAAAATTAAGAACAGTTAACTGCAGGAGATTTTAAGAGATCTCTTTTAGTGACAAAATCCATATAAAATCTAAGTTTTCTTTTGAGAATCAGATGCTTTCAAGCATTTTGCTGTTCCACAGGTCTAGCATTCCATGTGCAGTATTCACAGAGAGGGAAACACACACTCTTTAGGTCCAGTAGGATGATTAAAAAAAATTATAAAAAAAAATAAAAATCTGTGGCACACCCTAGGCATCAGTTAGTTTTCTTCCATCCACCTGCCTAGCTTCCATCCCATTGTTCCACTTTATTTAATCTTATTGGGTAATAAGAACAAGATTCAAAGGATTGAACTGCATTTGTATTAAACCACAAAGGTAATTATCAAGTGGCTTAGATTTGGGTTGGCATATATGGTCTTCTGCTATACATATTAGTCCTTAAATGTTCTATTCAGACTTTTCAAAACAAGTATTTCTAACTACCTCTTTTCTCCTACTAAATTTAAGTTTCCTCTTTCCCAGAGTGGCTGAGATCTTGAAGTCTGGTCAGTCTGTGTAAGTGTGTAAGAATATATATGTGGGTACACAGTAGCACCCAAACACCCTAATCATTGAGATGGAAATAAACAGAGGAACTGTATAATGTGATCATTGCTGGTAAATTAGAAATTAGAAATGAAGTCAAACCTCAGGAATTGTGATAGCCTTTGGGAATATTTTCTCTATGTCTATTTTTTGAGTAATGGCTCTACTTTCAACTGAATCAGTTCAAGCACAGAGGACCCAAGTTTGATGCATGAAAAGTCTGCTCAGAGAAGGCAAAGTTATCACTTCAGAAAATCAGTGTTGCAGCACCTTGCAAATAATTTTTCTTTTGTTTCTGGTAAATATATTTTAAGAGGTGCATTTCAAAGGAGTCAGAATCTGCATTAAATGCAAATATTAAGCCAAAAAAAGTGATCAAAATGCTTGAAAACTTTATAGTGATAACTTTTCCGTTACACGATTTGTATTTTCTGTCTTAGACAGAATGAAATACCAATCTATAGAATGAAAAGCAGCATCAAAATAACATCTTCCCTTATGTTGTAAGTCATCTTAGTACATAAAATGTTACACTTTGCTATAGTTGGTGAACCCTCCTACTTTTTGATCTATCCTCCATCCATTCAGTGTAATAATTTAAAACTGATAATGCCTAAACTCACGTTTTTTAATAGAGAAGAAATATTCCTTAATAATTTAGCTAGTTCAGTTATCTTTTTGAAGAAATATAAAACATCAATGAAGCTGATCATTCGACTTCAGTGAATAATTAGTAAATTAAATACAACATACCTTGCTGTTGATATAAAAATATACAAGGCAAATGGGAATTTCACCCACACCGCTATCTAGTGGTATGTAACATCTGTTAACACGAAGTTATAACATTGTTCACTCTTTTGCTCTTCATACCTTCTTCCAGTCAAGTAAATCTTGAATTCCATACTAAACAAACCCACAGAAATTTTAAGAACAAAAAATATTCTCTTTTGGCTTGTTTGCTGGCTGAAAGATAGGAATAAAAGGAGTTGGAAAAAGCAGCTTATTTTCTCAAGGGAAGATGATTACTAATAATGTCCTGCATAGGTCCATGCTAACATATTCATCAGAAACTTTTGAATAATTTAGTGAAAAGTCTGATGACAGTACAAAATATTCAGAGCACCAAAGTTGTCTGTGAAGAATCACAGAATATGATGATACTGAGTGACTAGAAAATAAACTAGATAAATTAGATGTCAATAAGTGTTTTGCTGGGGTGGAAGAACATATCTAATTTTATGCTGATAGACTCTAAATTACCTATCACCACTCAAAAAAAAAAAAAAAAAAGATCATTTTGCTCTCTGAAAACTTCCAGAGCATTCAGCAGCAAATAAAAAGGTAAGCAGAATGTTCCCAGTTATTAGAGAGCAAAACTTAAAACAAGATTATGCCATATATCTATAAGGCATCCACATCATGACTGCAGTCTGCAGTTCTGGTCACAGAACTCAGAGGATTTGGAAGAAGAGGAAAGAAAGAGGGTGATCAGAAACATAAAGTGGTTCTAGGTAGAGAGACACGGATGACAATACTTCAGGCAGTTTCAACAGAAGTTGAAATATTGTATACACTTAGGAATATTATGGAGGAAATGAAAAAGGAATTATTATATCCCCTTTCACAGGATATAAGAACAATGCTATTGGTAAGTGGCAGGTGTAATAAGTAATACAAAAGAACATACTTTATACATACAAAAGTAATCAAAAGGTGAACTCATTTTCACAGGATATTTGCTGCAGTTAAAAACGTGTTTGAGCTAGAAAAGGAATTGACTGGAAGAGACAGAACCATATATTAAACATAATGATCCAGATGCAATTAAATGCCAGAGCAATGAAAAGGAAATTCTACTTACTTACCATATCTTATTATGTGTTCTAAAATTATTAACAGTGATGAAAACACTGACAGGAAAAATTAACATAAGAACTTATATCCTGGTTTTACTGTCCATGATCTGAGCAACATATTTGAATCAGATATATCTTCACATTTAGGTGGGCTTTCTAATAAATAAAAGAAATAGAACGAAATAGTTAAAATCGGATGAGAAAACACAGTTAGGGAGAAATTTAATGCACTAATACAAACAACTACACCAGCCATCTGTCAAATGCAACTGCTATTTACCACTTCATTAAAGTACAAGTCTTGTGTTAATGTTCATATAATATGAACTGAGATTGGCACTGTCCATAATTAGTCATATGCTGATGCTACTAATACATATTGCCAAAGCACCTAGAACTGTCTGACCACATTTGTGTGCGTAGACATACACTCAACTTACAAATTTTTCTAGTTTCTACCACATGTATACTACTACAATACAGCAATTAAGCTGCCACAAATCTCGCAAGCGTATCAAAACATAATGCTCAGTGTTCATATCTGACCTATTGATAATGCTGGGTTGTTCATAGCATTGCTCACACTAACACACCTGCTTACAGAATTCCAGTCGTCACAGTAAGGCTCTCGTGTCTTGGTTGTGAACTAGTTGATTCTAAGTTGCAGCATTGTTGATGGACTTCTCACTTGCTCCCAGTATGCTGGGGGAGCCTTTCATGGTTTGGGAATAAAATCCCCCAAATAGCAGTAAATGCAGGGCAAGAACAGCAAAAACTATTTACATTTCTGCTACTTTGTTAATATCTTAAGTTTACTTTAACCATGTTAAGGGATTAGTTTTAATACACATGAGATCACAAACACTCAGTGTTGCCAGTAACAATAGAAATTTTCTCACCAAAATGAAATGAAGTTTGGGGCTTTTTTTTTTTTTTTTTTTTTTTTCCCCCAGGTGATAAAGTTGGAACCACCCACAATGCCTTGTTTTGGTTGTGACAAAGGCAGATGGAATCTTTTTAAGGCAACAATTCTGACTACATTTTCACTAATTTCTGTAGAATTCCTTCGTAAATTTCTCTTGAATTGTGGAGAGAAGACAGTAACTATGTAGATTATAAGCCATTTTTATACGTATGTGCCCACACTATCCACTCTCTTACAAGTATATTTCTGACAGTGGTCAAAGCAGCGGTTGTTTACTTTGTATGCAACCACTCACATCAGTTTTTAGTTTAAACATGCTACATTTGTACAGATGTAAGCTGGTCTTCACTAACGATTCCTATTTATGGAGCTTTCATTTCCTCAGCATTAGAAAACACTGGTTGGTCAAACCTGTTATTTTCAACACAAGTTAAATACAGTGGGTTATGTCCTGATGTCAAGTATGTGTGTGCATATCAGTAATATTTCTCCTGATTTCAAAGCAGTTGTATTTATGTGAAACTGGGCTAAAGAGTTTAAAAGGTTAATTTCTCCTTTTCTGTCTGTCCTGTTTGATATGCTACTAGAGTCTGGTCATGTCTGAGAGGTCCATTTGACAGAGCACTTCAGTCTTACTGGCTGAAATCAGAATGCTTTGCAAAAAGAGATTGTTGTAATACATACAAGCATTATCAAATTACTGTTCTGCTGAAGTTTTATGTCTAATGACTGTCTAACAGCAAAATAGCATGTGATCCTCTGCTTCAGAAAGGCAGTTGCTTAGCTAATTGAAGGGCCTTCCAGACTAGAAAACTGCTTTGACCACTAAGAGTATTTTACTTACACTGTCAACCAGAACAGTGGGACCACATGCCAGTGCAGCTGAACCGTGGGTGAATTTAGTGCTTCACCACAGATATTTAATCTTTAAAGGCAGATTTAATGTTTTAGATCTAATGCATTGTATATTATTACACTATTTCTAGACAGTACTCATTTTCAATTCTTATCATTTTTACTACTATTTTAACATTAAGTAGCATAAAGTGGTTCAGATTAAAGTCAATGCATGGGTAATTGAGTTCATCTACAATAACTCTGAAAATCTCATACAGACCTTTGAGGTGCTAAATTCTCATTAATGAATGAAAATAAGTTTAAATAGAAATGCATAATTAAACGAAGCCAAAGAAAGCTGAGTCTTGGAAGAAAAACAATGCCCC